GTTTGCTCTTTCGTCTGGCTTCTTCTCGAACGCACCAGTTTCCGTTTCGTTCTATTTTCGTTCGCGACGACGCAACTGCTCGAGAAATTCGGTCGGTCGATCGAATAAAGCTTTGCAAGTCGAGAAACGAACGGAGTGGCGGCGAGTGTCGATCGACGAGACAACGTGCCGACGAGAGCCACTAGCGGCTTCATGTCTTTTTGCCAATTTTTGTCTCCGTCGTACTCCCATTTCCGTCTTCGTTCCAACGACGGGAGCCTTTTCCGTGTCGACGACTTTCGGCTGGATCCCGTCGAGACCCGGATCGGAGAAGAATCCGTCAGTCTCCCGAGAAAACGCGCGTCTCCGTTCCGTGCATCGAGGCGACCTCGGGTGTTCCACGAAACCGCTGGATTCTCCATCGACGACCATAAATGAACTAAAAACTCGGTACGTCTCCCGAAAGATTCCGGAACAGGATTCTCCTACGATCGAGTCGGTCATCGGTGAAACGCGACCTAAAGACGAGCGACGCGCATTCCCCCGGTCGAGACTGAGGGAAGGCGAGACCCAGAGCCCCGACATCCATTCCGAATGAAAGTCGTTGCACGGAGCGCTGCCTGCACGCTTAGAAGAGGGTGAGCGATTTCCGAGAAAGGGAGCGAAACTGGAGTTAGCGATTTTTCTCCCTAAAAAAAAAAGGAAGTACAGCCGCTCACCTCTCTCTTTCCTGAGAAAAAAACTTTTTCTACTTGTTTGAAAAGTAGAGTCCCTCCTTCGTTTCTTGCTCTCGAAATGGTTATCGATTTCGCTCAAATAAAGAGGTTGTCATCAATTGTACTTCCTCTTTTTTGGGTGTAAAATCGCTAACTCCAGTTTCGCTCCCTTTCGAGGAAATCGTTAACTCTTTTCTAAGAGTGTAGGAATACCGGGTGACGTGGTTCGTCCTCCGTTTCTCGTTCTTTCCTCCTGGGCGCCTTTTCTCCACCTTTACTTTAATGTCTTTGCAGGTTCCTCCTACGCATCGTTATATGGGTTTGATGTTGAATGTGACACGTTGTTTCTTAGTGAAAGGCTGTTGGCAACACCCTGGATGATGAATGAACACTACAATATATATTGCATGAGCATGGCAACAGATTTCCCCCCACCCCATCCGTTACATCTCCGTCCGTCATGACGTCAGCTCTGGTAAAAAAGTTTTTCTCTCTTATCTGCGCTGGAGGCGCTCCATATGAGGAAATAAACTCTCGAGCCCGGACTCTCCCCCTGCCCCTGATCCCACCTTCAAAATAGAGAAAATTTAACGACTTGCCGTAGTTAAACGAGCTCGATCGCGACGAAGGACGCGCTTCAAGGACGAGGCAGGTCAGGAGGCAGGATCTGCCCGGTGGCAGATCCGTCGACGCAATTACATGTCGACGTGCATTGTGCTTTTTCTTCGCTTGACGCATTCAGCCTCGGCGATTTGAGTGCACTACGAAAAAAATAAATCATAATGTGATGGGTGTATTTGGGCAAGGAGTGTCAAGAGGGGCGTCATCCTACAGTTTTCAAAGCGCTACTTTCGACGTTCATCGATACTAAATGATCTATTGATACTATCGATTTCCGAGTATCCAAATACCACTTCCAAATTATCAATGTATTTTAGGGCCGACGCGTTGGATTAGGGAATACCGACCGAGTGTCGGTCCTGAGACTGGAGTCTTTCGGCAATCGCGCCATTTTCTGCTCGAGCGGAGGCCAGTCTTTTCCTAATGATACTGCATTTTCCTGATCGATGTACATCTATAGGACTAAGTTTCTATTCGATATTAAAAAGCTGAACCATCGGAAACTCACCAATGATTGAATCAAATTGAAGTTCATCGTTTAAAGGAAAAATTTTCCTAGATCGACTCGTGTTTGCTGGTGCATTGATCTCGTATTAAGAACTCCCGAGGCTGCTTAATTCTTTTTTTTCTTCTTTTTTTCACAATTCAAGGGAAAACTTGGCAGTCGTCTTGAACCATCTTCGTGACAGAGTCCAAGATCGCATGGAACGATAACGATTTCCAAGGGCAGTCTAAAATCAAATTATTCTCATTCAAATCTGAATTTCCATGGCAGTGACGATACCTGCTCAGGTGTCGACGGATGCAAGACATAGACAAGACATAGACAAGACGCCGCATTTTCTGGGCATGCATCACATGAGACAGCTTCATGCAGTTTTCTGTTAGAAGAGGGATTCCATGCTTACATATTTTGAAGCATTTTTCAAATTGTGACGTTCAAACTCAGAATGAAATTGACAGACTATGCTTCTATTTTCATGAGATTATGTTGAGAAATAAATAAATAACCTATGAACCAATGCTTTAAGACTTCTTGGATGACCAAGAATTGAAACGACGAAGTAATAGAAAGTTAAAAAAAAAAATTATAAGTGGACATGCAGAAGCAAGCAGTCCAATCACTACCGGACAGGAACCGACCGGCCGAAAGTTATCCGCTTCGACGGGGTCGGTTCTCGGAACGGTGACGGGAGAGACCCGAATGAGACAGGAGATGGGGTTTCCGCATGATCTTTTCCCCTATAGTTCGGAATAAATGTTTCATGGCATCCAGCAATAGGTACTCTATCAATTTAAATTAGGGTTGTCAATTCGATGAGATTAATCGACTGATTATTTTTTTAAAGTATTAATCCTGATTTTAAAAATTAGTCAAAATTAATCAAATTTTAGTTGATCCCTTAATCACCCCCTGAGCGCCTCTTATTTCATATATAATTTTACCGAGTAGTTCATAGTTTTGCGAAACAACCGGAAACGAATGCTTCATCAAGGGAATGAAATCTAATGATGGTTTATCGAAAGTAGTCGTTTTCGCACTGCTCGCTTATTCTCAAAAACGACATACTGTTTTTTGGAAAAAGGGAACACGGAAAAGCGAAGCCATCGCTTTCGGACAATTCTGAAAAAAAAGTTTTCTGACCCCTTCGCATCCACAAGCGTACTGGAACGCGTCCTGTGTCCCGAATGATTGCGCTTTTACCCCACAGGTCCCTTTTTCAGTTGACGGCTACGTTTGGTGCTGCATATCTGGCAAGTCGTTAGAGCCGGAGAGCTAAAATTGTGGCTTTTTTCATAAGTCTCAGATGCCAACATGGACTTTTTTTTTCTCACGCAAACCGGAGTCTGAAGCCCAAAGAAAGTCACTGAAATTTGACCACTTGAGCTGGAACGCCTCAGCCACTTCCAGAGGAAAACTAATTCAAAAATTGGGTCGACTCCTAAAGGAACTAATGGCCTAGAAAAGAGACCGGGAACTTTTCGATCGCCCCTCGTCGAGCATACGTGGAGGAAGTGCGATCCAAGAACGCTTTGGGATTCTCGCGACGATCCGCTAGAGCAGTTCATCTTCGTTTCGATCATCCCGCAGCACTCCCCACTGCTTCCCTCGAAGTGCATGACGGTGGGCCTTTTTGAAATCCGCAAAGCACAAATAAACCTCTTTGACTTACTACTTTTTTTTCTCGATGACCTCGTGTAGAGCGTAAGGGTCGGTCCGCATTGCTGCGCCCTTCACGAAACCGGCACCATTCCTCTCGGGAGGCTTCTGGGGGCTTCTCGAACGACTTTTCCCGGGGTGATTGTTGCACTCCTTCGAGTCTCCCCTCGAACCATCACATCTGTCAGATGCCGTCGCTGATTCCATAGTGCTACGGCATTCCCTTTTGCTACCACGAGCACCCTTCAGTGCTACTCGGTCTCCGTGTGACTCTGTGTGCCAAATCCCTATTCTGCGGAACGAGGTCCCAATCGAGGCCCCATAGTCACGATATTCCTTCTGTTGCTTTCCATCGATGCTAGAAGGTGAAAGCGACAAGAGCGGAGAAATGGCCTGCCACCCAGCGCTTCTCCACTTTTCGGCTGTCAGGAGGCGCCAAGGGCGAAACCCTTCGCACGCCACTTTCTATCCCATATTCGATGGAATTCCTCGGTCAGCATCCAAGCATGGCAGCGACGAAGGCTGTCGTAAGAAACCCTCTGTGAACTGGACTCGAAAGGCGAGCGGATGTTCATCACTTTGCCAGCTCTTCGAAGCACCGGGCTCTCACAAGTCTGTTGCGAGGCATGAGGGAAGCGTGTGAGAACCTCGTCGAGGTGGCACGTAGTCGCAACCTCATCCCTTCGATCAGTGCGTTCGTGAGTATAGATGATGGTGTGGAGGGAGGCTCTTCAGGAGGAATAAAAATAAATGTTTTCCAGTTTTTCAAGGGGGAGTGACCATCTCAGTACAAGGCAAACGGAAGATAAAGAATGCAGGTACAGTTTTGATACTTTTTAATCCATTTAAACAAACAGATCATATTGATAATCAGATTGGGAACACATGATGTTGATAGAAATGCGCAATACCTTCAGTGACGTACTGCCTAAAAAGCCTATGCATCTGCGTTCATTCATTGAAAAATAAACTTTTTTTTAAATAAACTAAAATGAGATTACATTTAATTTCTTAAAACTATGTCTGTTGTGGGATTATGAATCGTCCATACGCTCGACGAATTCCTCTGTCGCCAAGTCTGCGAGGGAGAGTCTGAGGAAAAAAAATTGTGAAGATTTATTTGGATTTCAAACAGGCAAATTACTATTCTCCTCTGCAAAACGACGAAAGACTGACCTGCTCCCTGTTTCCCTTCATCCATGCTCATCCGTGTTCTTCTCCAAGGATGAGTTCGGAGGATGTTGAGTGCCAGGAATAGCAGTCGTAGAAGAGATCTCGTCGGTATCTATGTCGACTTTGACTAGAGACAACAAATTTATTTCATTCGGCAGGTCGCAGATCTCTGGAAAAGGGAAGGGGAAAAAATTTTTTTTAACGCCATTGTCGTGCAAAATTTTTCGCACGTTCAAACGTGCACGTATGTAAATAATTGTGTAAATTATGGCTCTCACTCAGTTGCCTCAAATTGGATAGGATCCACTCTTCCGGTTTCCAGAAAACTTGCAAGAGATCCTTCATAGTTATAATGGAGGACGTCAACGAGGTGTTGAACTTGCTTCCGATCACAGCATACGCGTGTTCTCTCGGGAAGAGGAATCCTTAAATTTAAATGATTGAGCCAACCGTCAGTCATACCGTCCTACAGCATTCAAATACGACACATCTTTCAAATTTCGAAAAGCCGAAAGGAAAATGATGTGGAGTGGTTTCGTCACCATTCTCCTCATTTCTATTCAGCAATATTTGATTGCTGAACGTATTAAACGTATTGCTCGACTGGTAATCGAGACCCGGGTCTCTTGCGGGTCAAGATTTCCTCAGAAGCCGCAGCTTAGAGGCCTAAACGGGCTTCGATTCTGCGTGATTGGCTCGACCCTTTCTCGGGATAGAACGCCTGACGCATGAACAAGCAAACGTCGTTCATCAATACCTCCTCTAATGATTCCTTCGAATCGTGCCTGCAAATATTAGGAGCTTTAGCCATCTATTTTCATAATATGCATTAATTTCTGGCGCTGTTCTGAAAATTGAAGTTTTACTTTTCCCAGAATTGGTGAAAAATAATTAATACCTTGATTACCGAGGAATTTCTCGCATCTATTCCCTTAGATGTCAATGGCGAGCCTTATGGACCTGAATAGTCCTGAAACTGCAGAATAAAAATGATATGAGGAGCGTTGCATGCAAAATCGACCATGTCTTAGATCGAGACCCTCTGTGATCAAGAGAGGAAGCTCATCAGAGGTGCGAGAAAGGTGAAGGGTGGAAACGAGATAACACTAATTAAATGCTAATCCCGAGAGCGAAGAGACTTTGCCTTGTCATCGACCTTCATTTCCACTGAGAATAACATTCTCCGAATGTTATTCTCAATGGGAATGGGTTCGGCGAGAGGGCGAGGCGAGACGAAGGATCGAGTCCGTGTGGCGGCGGGCTCTTTCTCCATTGACAGGCGACCCATTTGCTTTCATGGGGAGTGTCAGCTTGGTGTGGGGCACGTAATGCAGATGCCACTCTGTGCGCTACGTCTAGGAGATGTGAGTCCAGTTCACCTTAAAAAGCACTCACGCCAGTCATGGACTTAGGCAACCCGTAAGCTGCCGCTTTGGCCTCCTATAGGACCGTCGAGGGGTGTCGCAGCCTGAGGGACTGTGATATGGATGTGGTGTCCATGCACCACATCCGTACGGCCAATATGACAGTCTGGTCGCAGGTACCGTTAATCCTGCTGCGTTGATCCGAGATACCATCTGCCAGATATTCCCGAACTAACAAGAAACGTTAGTTCGATACTCCTCGACCGATTCATATACCTGGAATGCCACACGGCATTTTGCGGAGAACCCTTCATGTAGGGAATGTCACCCCCTGAAGTACTACTAGTGGGTAAAAGCTAACTTGACCGAATATGTGCCCATCGTGTGTCCTACAATATTCAGTTTCTTTTCTCGCTAATTCGTGCTATCGACATAACTCTCAGTTAACGGGAGAATGGTGTGCACAAGAATATCCCGAATATGCTTCATCGTGAACGTCTGACCCATGTGATCTCCGAAGGGAGAGCAGAGGAGGGAATTGGAAAGGGGGCACAGCAACAAACCGTTTCGAGTCGAGGGGAACGGGGGAATCGCGGTTTGGGGTTGCTATTACCTTGATGGGCAGGGACCTTCATGATTGCAACTTCGCTTTTCATGCCTTCCTCCTCGAAGGCTCCTTGGATTGCTGCAGCTTCTTCGATGACTTCCGTGACGAAAGCCGTCGGAATCTGTCTCTCCTCGCACCTGTCATGCAAGGCTAGCAGACGCTGCTCCGCCTCGTCTGCGGTCTGTCGAGAAACGAGTATGGGACATTAGAAAGAGAAGTCACGGCAGAACCGTTTGACGGCATCGAAGGCCGTCCGAATCGTGCGAAGGCCTTTACCTTCACTGAGAATATGGCACTACAAAATGGCTGAGGGAATTCCATGGGATTCCCCAGGACCGTCTTCATCTGGATGTTGCACGAATTTCGTGTTATCTGCCAAAATGAGTCTGTCTCGAGCCCTTTGGGTGGAGAAAGAATGAAAATCACAGTCGGTTTCCCTCATATCTTTTCACCATTCGTGCCTGACAACTTTAACGAGGATTCACCAGGGGGAGATATCACTTCATGGGAAAGAAACGTTTCCTCGCATTTTGGGCAATATGGAGTCCGCAGATTTTCCATGCATGGGTCACAGATGATGTGCATGCAGGGCCACAGGAGAATTTCTGCTTGCCTCAGTTCGCATGAACTGCAGGAATGTCTCCCTAAAAGAGAAATAAATTTTCCACTGTAACTTAGATAATGAACCAAACCGTTAGAGCGCTTCTCCCTTCAAAAAGTGCATGTGTCTAGGCGTACGAGTCTTAGTGAACGATTTTCATGATTGCCCTTTGTTCCAGCGCTGACTTTCCGGTAAAATCCGCCAAAAGTTACTATGCCATTTTCTTTGGATCACCAACAGAGTACTTGAATTTTAATTCAGGTACTCCGTGACAAATTGACAAATGAAATTTTTCCAGTGAGTCGCAAATTGAATGTATAGTAGTCGATGCCTGCAGAGTGGTCAATGATTTCGATGAGCTTTGTTTGAACTGCCGCGAAAGTTCCATCCCCTTTTGATCAGCCTACGTAAATTGACTTTTGATGGGCTGTGATAGTGCCTTCTAACACTAAGGACCATTTCTCTTACACTTAATTGTGAACCTTTATGTCCTAAGTTCTATGAACCGTTTCTCAGCATTTTCTATCTTTGTTACTGTGGGTCCCACTCTTTGCTTCCTTCACATCAGAGTGACCTTTGATATTATATATGATTTTTCATTGGAGGCCAGTTGAAGGGAAGCGGGGATTAACACCGACGCCTGCGAGTACGCTATCCTTTGTCTTCCCTCTCCATCTATGTTGCCACGTTCACTCATTCAACGTTGCCACGTTCACCCAATCAACGTTGCCACGTTCACCCAGCCTAGGTTGCCACGTTCACCCATTCAACGTTGCCACGTTCACTCATTCAACGTTGCCACGTTCACCCAATCAACGTTGCCACGTTCACCCAGCCTAGGTTGCCACGTTCACTCATTCAACGTTGCCACGTTCACCAAATCAACGTTGCCACGTTCGCCCAATCAACGTTGCCACGTTCACCCAATCCACTTTGCCAAGTTCCCCCAAGTCCACCTTGAAAAGTGCCCGTTCACCCACTCTACGTTGCCACGTCACTTACCTTCAAGTTGCCATGTTTTCCAAGTTCATTGAAACACTTCGCTGAGTCTTACGAAGCGGCACTCTAGCTGCCAGAGGGCTCTGTTCAGTGTCGCGTAGAACACATTTTTTAACCTTTCTTCTGCAAGATCTAAGTCTTCTAAGAACTTCAGTTCATCAACCGTCTAACTCCTGACACGCGATCTCTTCAAATTTCTCTGATATTCCCCAATCTTTGACCAATTCTACGGCTGTTATAGGAAAAGTTTGAAATCGATTTCTAGCTTCCTCTGGGACACCAGCAACTGCCAACGCTCGCCCCTGTCCTCCCCTCTCTTCATAGCCAGGCGCGTGGATCCCGGTGCTGTTGCACCGCCGGCAAACGCGATAGCTACGCCATGTCCTCACGACTCCGATAATGATTTTACACCTCTCTTGAGATACGAAAAGTCGTAACCGGTAGGTCTTTGTTCTAAGTGATGATGTAATTCTTGCTTCTTGCAATTTTGGTACAATGTCCGACCGCTATCTCTATGTTCTCACTTCCTTCTACATTCGTTCCTCAAAGAACATTTCCTTAATTACTAAAAATTAATCGTTTTATTCAAATGCTAAGAAATCTCTTTGGAAACGTTTAGGAAACTCATGAAGCAGGAGAGATGTCGGCCGTTCCTCTTCCTCGATCATCCTTCATCCCGTTCCTTCATCCCCTTAAAATACATGACCCTAGCTCAAGGAACGCGGAGTACCCATGAGTACCGTCCTTATCTGTCTCTTGATTCCTTATTATCGCCTTCCGCATCGAGTGGGGAATCGACTCGATGCGTACAAACAAGCGTTTCTCGACGGGAAGGAAGAGAGACGAGGAAAGAAATGGCTCTTAGTTGTGACCTTCCCTCAATATTCGACTTCCTGCTAAGAGACAAATCCTGCATTACATTATTTTTCCCTTCCAGTCTCCCTCTAATTACGCCAGAGCCGGTATTTGCGACATTTTGGGGATTATCTCGCTCTCCTGCGGTTCCACCTGGCCAGTAGCGTGCTCAGGAAATCCCAAAGGGGGGGGGGATTCGAATGAATTCGGATATCGAATAAAGAATTGGTAACCCACCCTGCATATATGGTCAAAATGCAAAGTAGCTTCGATAACATGTGCCACCCGTGACTCATTAGGAAAGGAAGTAGCAGACGAGCCGAAATGGAATACGAGGCGATGCAAATTAAACAAGGCCCATCTCACACGGGTCGCACTGCAATGCTGTACAATTCCTTTGGATACGGGGAATGGCCTGGAAGCTCCCTGATACAAAAATTGATGCTCCTAATGGCGTATCAGATTCAATCCCTCTCATATATAAGGCTACAGAGGGTGGGGGCTAGGATGCCAACACCCGTACAAAAACAGGGACGAATTTCCACATGTTTAGGAGTTTCCTAAAACAAGAACACGAAGTGAATGGAGCCGATTTCATTCGCGCTTACCAAGTTTCCTTTAAAAGATCGGCTATGAGCTGAAGAAACAGGCTGAAAGCGATGGGAGTCGTATTGGGTATGGAAGAGGAATAAAAGGCGTTTAAAACGTGTGAAGGAGAGATTCAATTCAAGAATTAAAGGACAACTGACCTACGTCCATCTTATGTCGGAGCACAAGAGATACGGAAGAACAGATGCAAACTATGAAGAGAGCCAAGCGCCCGAGATGTGTCATGGACGAACACTTCACACAGACTGGAAACACAAATACTCCCTGCTCTCAGAGGAAGGAGGCGGAGTAAGGAGAGGGAACACAGGAGTGGGAAATTCGTATGCATGAATCTGGATTTGCCACTATAACTATCAAAATTGACAGGTAAATTTATTTATTTGACTTTCAGCGGGATCTCCTTGGACACGGGCCTCGGGGGGATCTCGGTTCCTGTTCCATAAAAAAACAAACATTCCATACAAGCAAACGAGATTAGATAATCAACACTCAACAAGAGTACGAACTGACCTCTTTTATCCACCCGATATCACCCTCTTGCCGTGAAAATAAATCTGAACGTCACACACACGCCCAAGGAAGACCGGAAACGGCTATGTAATCCTTCCCCGGCGACCTACGTACTGGTGAATTCCGCATCGATGTACCTTCCAAGCTAGGGTACAGCATTATTCTCAACCGACTGATGAGGTGTTCCAACGGAACAGCTGACGAAATTTAGTACAAGCTCGATTAATCCGTTCATAATCAAACGTTCACCAAGTCTGCGTTGCCACATTCGCAGATACTACGTTGCCACGTTCACCAAAACCGCGTTGCCACGTTCACCAAAGCAACGTTGCCAGGTTCTTCAAAACCACGTTGCCACGTTCACAGATACTGCGTTGCCACGTTCACCAAAACTACGTTGCCACGTTCACCAAAACCACGTTGCCAAGTCCACGGTCCACGTTACCAAATTCACCGAATCCACGTTGCCACGTTCACCAAATTCACGTTGTCCCGTCGCGTCAAACGTAAATTATCCCTCTCATAGGAGGACGCTCCATTTCTCGATAGGGATAGAAATGGGGATCATATGGGCAGGGTCGCCCAGAGGTTTCCAGGGGTACGTGGCAGATTGCCCCAATTGCCTCCCCCCCCCTTCTGGGCGGCCCTGCATATGGGTGCAAAGGAATCATTAGGGGGTGACCGTCCCTCTGCCACTTTTTTTTGCACGCATTGTATTACTGACGAGGAGCCTACGGAGTCATTATATACCTTGGACACGCGGGCAATCTACTCGTGAGAATCTTTAACGTTAAGTCATGCCAGAGCCGCCTACAACGAGACGAAGTCCCCAGGAAAAAAAGGGATTCGTATCGAGTCATATGAGCGAAGGAAAGGGTCGTTCCATTAATTTATCTCTCGTGATAATTTAGCTATTCTTTACTGGGGTGGATATATGCGGGGGGCGGGGGGGGGGGGGGGGGGGGGGGTCGTAAATCCAATCTAACATAATCAGAACTATCCATCAAGGAAATTACTTGCATCTAAAAGGAAAAGTGACGAAGATTTAAACCTTCAATGAATGCAACTATATCATTGGAAGACACCCCAGGGATGCGAAGCACTGTCAGTCTAACAACACATATCACTTGGAAACAGTGCCTCTTCAGTGCCAGAGAGAGCAACGAATGCGGGGTAGGAATAGGGAACTGAGACTGACAGAAGCCTGTTCGGAATGATTCCTTATTTTCAGAATGACGACTGCACGGGCTGGTGGGCTCTAACCAATTGTTGTAAGACCCGAAAAACATCCTTATGGGGGGCCCTACGTACTTTCAAGGGCTGCTGAAAGGGAGGTGGCTATGTTGCCGTGTTCACCTCGGCATTCCATCGTTCTTCACTCTTGCTTTCCGCTAATTAAAAGTTCAGTCGTAGGTCATCCATACATAGGAGCATAATCGTTTTGTCGGTTCTAGGACTTCGGAACGGAATCTTTTCGTTTCGCGTTCCATTCCGTTCCTCCTCGTTCCCCAGTTTTCCGGTTTCTGTTCCGTTCCACGATGACTACGGAAGTACTGCACGGAACCGGGCCGGTATAGTACTATTGGGCAGGGTATTTTTTGGGGGCCGGAACGTTCTTTGGCTCCCAAGTTCGCGGGACGAGATGGAACAGGGAGAATGATTTTCATAAACGAATATCTGATATGTATTGACGCGATGATGAGCGGAAAAATCCAATGAGAAATTTCCATAGAAATTATGTTTTCCAATGGAAAAAGGCGGTTTACGCACG